GGGGCATTCCCTCCGGAGGCGGGAATGCCCTCTACTTGGGTGCGGAGGTGGAGCTCCTACCCCCAGGACACCCAGGTCAGAGGGGCCTCCCTCCTGGAAGGGGGGGTGCCCTCTCCCCTAGGTGCGGGGTGGGTGGTGGGAGCTACCCCCACCTGGACACCCAGCTTGGAGGGGCCTCCTCCACAGGGGTGAGTGCCCTCTCCCCTGGGTGTGGAGATTGGGATCTTCCCCCCAACACCCAGGTTAGAGGGGCCTCCCCCATGGAGGGGGGAGTGCTCCCTCCCCTGGGTGCGGAGGGGGATCTTCACCCCCACACACAGGTTAGACGGGCCTTGCCCCTTGAGTCTGGAGAGCCCTCTTTCCTAGGTGTGGAGGGGAGTTTCCCCACCCCAAACCGGGGTTAGAGGGACCTCCACTCCAGGAGGGAATGCCCTCTCTCCTGGGTGCTGAGGTGGAGCTCCCACCCCTCTCACACCCAGGTCGGAGGGGCCTCCTCCCTGAGGGTGGAGTGCCCTCTCCCCTAGGTGGGGACTGGGGACGGGAGCTCCCCCCCACCACCCCGACACCCAGGTTGGTGAAGCCTCCACTGCGGAGGGGGGAGTGCCCTCTGCCCTGGGTGAGGGGTGGATGGGGAGCTCAACCCCCCACTCTGACACCCAGCTTCCAGGGGCCTCCCCCAGGAGGGTTAAGGTTAGGGTTAGAGTGGAGTGCCCCTCTGCCGTGGGTGCACAAGGGAGCTCCCCTGGACGCTCAGGTTAGAGGCGCCTCCCCCCTGGAGGGGGGAGTGCCCCTGTGCCCTGGGTGCGCTGGGGAACTCCCCCCGACACCCAGGTTAGAGGGGCCTCTCCACTGGAGGTGGGTGTGCCCCTCACCCTGGGTATGCTGGAGAGCTCTTCCTGACACCCAGGTTAGAGAGGCCGCATCCCTGGAGGGGGCCGTGCTCTCTATGCTGGGTGCACTGGGTTGCTCCCCTGGACACCCAGGTTAGAGGGGCCTAGCCCCTGGATGGGGGAGTGCCCTCTATCCTGGGTGCAGAGGGGGGATCTCCCCCCACCCACACATATACCCAAGTTAGATGGGCCTTGCCCCTGGAGGGGGGAGTGCCCTCTCCCCTGGGTGTGGAGCGGGGGGAGCTCCCCTCCAACACCCAAGTTAGAGGGGCCTTCCCCTGGAGTCGGGAGAGCCCTCTCCCCTGGGTACGGAGGGGGAGCTCCCCCCCCAACACCCAGGTTAGTGGGGCATCCTTTCCAGAGGGGGGAATGCCTTCTACCTGCATGCAGAGGTGGAGCTCCTACCCCTGCGACACCCAGGTCGGAGGGGCCTCCTCCCCAGACTGGGGAGTGCCCTCTCTCTCAGGTGAGGGGTGAGGGGAGGGAGCTCCTCCCCCAACCCCAACACCCAGGATGGAGAGGCCTCACCCCCCAGGGGGTAGTGTTCTCTCCCCTGGGTGCGGAGGGGGGAGCTCCCCCACACACACCCAGGTTAGTGGGCATCTGCCCTAGAGGGGGAGTGCCCTCTCCCCTAGGTTCGGGGTGAGGGGCGGGAGCTCCCCCACCC